TTTAGAATTCTCTTACAAGTTTTTTACTTTTTATTTTTTATTTTTTTTATTTTCATATAATTTTTCTATAACTTTCATACATTTATTTCTAAACTTTCTTTACAAAATTTTTGAAGTGTTTCATGGATTTTGTATGCCAATTTAATATTTTTTTATAACATTTTAAAATACTTTCGTTAAATACTAGTTTAAAACGTTGTATTAAAAAAATTAAAAGTTTATAAACTTCTAAGTAAAAAGCAGGGGCGTAGGTAGTAACATTGAAGGTAGGTCCTAGGACCTGCCTTTTTTTTAATTTTATATATGATGTATTTATTAAAAAAAAATAAGGACCCACCTTATTTTTTATAAAAGACCTACCTTTGACATCAAAGCCCGTTTTTTTTTATATCAATGTCCATATCTTTTGCCCATTATCTATTAAGCTGTAGCCCAATCCAATTGATCAAATATTTTATTTTTATTAAAAAAAAAAAAGGGAAAGACGCAGCGTCGCTGTTTGGAAAATTGGAATCGAATCGATCATTCATCATCGTGAGTTCGTGACGATTGACATCGTCCGTGCCGACTGTCGTGACTCGTGACGCCGTCGACCGTCGTTGGTCGTCCCCATCTTCCCCTCCGGCGGTAGCAGCCTATCGGCTATCGCCTAACGGAAATTTCTGATCGGCCACAGGGCACAGCCGCACACAGCATCACTCATCGATCAACTGCTATTTGTTGTTCAGGTTTGAGGAATTGAGGTTTGTATTACAATACAATATTAGAAATCATAATTCTTTGCTTTTTCTTATTCAAAATCAAAACCCTTTGTTTGATTAGTGATTGTATATTTGTATGATTTCATGATTTATATTACATTATCACTAAATCAGTGATTAGATTGCAGAATTCTTAATTTGTTTTTGTTAAGTCTTAACACTATTAACAGTTTTGAGAATTCTTTGTGTATAATGTATTTGATATAAAAACTTGTTTGTTTGCTATTGTCTTGATTTTTATGTTATAATGTTATATTGTTATGACTTATTGTCTTGACTTTGTGATTTGTCTATTAGTCTATTTGATAACAAAACTACAAAAGATGAATAAATGATAAATTGATAATGGTTATTACTTATTAGTTTGGTACTTTTTATAACATTCAATTCATAATTCAATTTCAGAATAAAGCATCAACATTCAAGAATGTCTTTGCATAAGTTTTATAAAAAGAAAGAAGATGATGAACAACAACATAAGTATAAGAAGGTTGATTTAAACGCACTACCTGTTGATCCATTTGAACGACCAAGTATAGATTTTTATCATGTAAACCAAAGAGATGAAATTAGAAGAGCAT